CCTCAAATTTCAATATTTCAGAAATCAAATTTCATTTCCAGGTGGCATTTTCCTGCTACATCTTTGAATGCAGGAATCATGTGCTTTATTTCTCTTTGAATCCACAGCTCTTGGCAAATATTAAGTGTTCAAAAATAATTCTTCTATGGTATTGTTGAATTCTGTGTGAGAGAACATCTCCAGAATTTTACTTTGAAGTGGTGATGATTAATGGAACAGAAAAGAAAACTGCTTTTAGTTTATTTCACTTAAAAGTTAATTAAAATTTTTTTTAAAAAACAGTTTCTGGGCCTATTTTCTAGAGCTGTACTGTCCTATACTATAGACACTAGCCCTATTAAATTTTAAACTTAAATATTCAGCTCCTTGGCTATATTAGCCACCTTCAAGCACTCAATAGCCACAGGTAGTTAATGACCACTGCGTTCTAGAACAGTTTTATCATTGCAGAAAAGTCTTTTGGGCAACATTGTTCTAGAACATGTCAGTATCATTTTCCATACATATTTTCCAAAATCTATATTCATTTATTCATTCAAAAAATATTTATTTGATGTATGTTATATACTAGGCACTGAAGATACAAAAATAAGCAAGACTTCTTTCTAAGCATTTAAAATCTTTTGTAGGAAGACATCAGTGAACAGACATCACATTACAGTGCCATGCCATGGAGGGTTAATTGGAGGAGAGCATGATTTGAGGCAAAAAATGATGGAGAAGAAGACTGCTGAAGTAATGAAGGTAAATATTTTTTTAATTAAGTCAGAGAAAGTAGAAATGGAGAGAAGAAAGAACCGAAAAGTAATTAAGAGGCACAGATAGCATGATTTAATGAGAAATTGGATGTGGCAAGTAACAGAGAAAGAGGAATCTAGATTAATTCCCACATTTCTAGCATAAGGGAATGAATACATGGCACTGCCATTATCCTAAACTGGGTCTATGTGAGAAAGAACAGCTAGCGTGTAGAGGAGAGATGACCATTTTAATTTTACATTTGGGTGCTTTTTCATGGTTATAATATATGTGTGTCCAATATTCATGAGAAAGATTGGAGCTAGAGTTTTGGGTATTAGCATTGTGGAGCTGGTGGTTGAATGAGATCACACAACCACAACAAAAAGCAATCTTGACAATGAAAGCCAAGAAGATTAACATTAACAATTTCTAGAAAAATTGCAGGGAAAACAGAAATGAATGGGGTCATAGAAACCAAGAGAAAGGAGTTTCAAGAAGCAGCTAACAACCTAAAGAACTTCAAAAAAGTTACATAAGATAAAAACTAGGGGGATAAATTCTGTTTAATATAGCAACAGGTCACGGGTGACCTTAACAAGAACATTTCCTTTAAATGACTGTAGCAGACATTAAGTAGGAAGAACCCCAGGAGCGAATGAGTGGGGAAGAAGAAAAGGCATGAATGGACCACTCTTTCCAGAAATTGAACAAGTATGAGATGGAAAGAGCTATACATGAAGTGATATGTAGATGCAAGAGAAGATGTTTGTTTACTAGTTCTATCGTGGAAAATACTTGGGCACTTAGTTTAAAGTTGCTGTGTCCATAGGCTATGCAAATAATGGTTCATCTTAGCTGGTTTGTATTAATTGTAGCTTATCTCCAGAGCTACTGACTCTTGGCCAACGCTATGGAACGCATTAACTAACGATAAATGATGTTTTGTAACCATGGGTCTGTGAGCTGTTTCAGAGCAGGATGTATCAGCCTGCCAGGATTGCTTAGTAATAATAATCAGATTTATAATTGCATCTAATTTCAGTAGAGCCCAGGGAAGGGGGCTTTCAAAGTATAGGCCAGTAACATAGCTAGAATGTGTCTATATGAGGAGCTCATTATAAGAGATCTCTGCCATGAGCGATTTGGGTTTCTTGCTACAGAGGTGCTTCAGATGCGCACCAGTAGTGGCTACACACCTGTACAGACAAAGAGCACCTGTGTGACCCAGAGGTGGGAGAATAAAGAAATCTGTGCCTGAGATCTCAGGACACTTTTCCATGCATATCTTTCTTCTGTTGTTTCTGTGCTATATCCTTTCCTGTTATAAAGTTGTTTTGAGAGCATAAACTGATTAAACTGAGTTCCATAAGCAGTGGAACACTGAAGGTGATTAACACATCATTAACACTGGCTACCGTAACTCTACTAGCAAAAATATTCAGCTTTTTCAGTTTCTCGAGGAATTTGGCACAAGTATAAATTTTGTACTCAAAAATTACAATTCCTGAGGATGGTTTTTTCCTCAAGGAAAAAGAAAAACTAATAAAGTCTCATTTACACAAAAAATCTTTAAAGATACAAAAATAATTGCCTAGTTTGTCCACGAAACATCTTAGTAACCATCAGGACAGAGAGATTTGAATAACTGATTTTTCCCCCATAAACTATTTGATTAGTTTATTAAGGGAATCAATCCATTCTATGTACCCATACTCTCTGTGTTGTGTTCTTTCACAGCCTTTTCAACCCTTTTGCCAGCCCTCCACCTTCACTGCCTGATTTATCATGCCTCGGCATCTCATCCATTTCATTGATTTGTGGTAAAATCCAAAGCTTGTCCAGCGTCCTAAGGGTGGGTCGAATCCCTCAGTTCCCACAGAAAGATCATTTAATTACCTGTGTTCACACAAACATTCTTTAAGTACCCAGGAAACGAGCCTAAACGGTAATGTTCATAGATACAAACTAAGGCGAAATAAAGTGATATATGATGAAAGTGGGAGATCATCAGACAGCTTATAGAGCGCCAAAGAACACAGATTTTAAGTTAGTTAGATGTGAGATTAAATTCCATGTGGGCCCCTTACTAGCTATATGACCTTGGGCAAGGTACTTTGTGTATCTGAGCATCAATCTCCTCCTCAGGAAAATGGTGAAAGTAATAATGCTTCACAGCGTTATTGTGAGGATTAATGCAGGAAGATATATATATGAAAACTGTGTAGTCCACTGACCAGCATATAATAAGTCCTTGATAAATGATAATTGTTTAAACTCAGAGAATGATGTTCATTAACAAGTTATATATTCATGGATATAATACTTAACCTGTCCACCTCTCTCCATATCTGCTTTCTAATATGAGGGTAAATTTAAATTTACGTAACTGAACTTTTATGAGCTTTGAGACTGAATATACAAATCAACAATGGCCAGACTATATATAAAAATAGAATTCTAACCCACAACCTCTGCACCAACCAGCCTGGGAAGCCAAACCACAAGCTCTGCAATAATCAGCCCAGAATAGTGAGGACTTTGTCAGTGACTGCCAGCTTCCCTCATACTTGTCTATGCTTCCAATTCAGGATCAATCAGAGAAAGCCAAATAAGCTCCCCAAACCAATTACATAGGATGCCCCACTTCTACTTAGCCTGCTTCCAGCTTCCACATGCCAACAACCTCCAATTAGAGCACAGCTGAAGCCTTCCCTTTTCCCACCACAAAACTTACTCCCCTGTCTGCCTTTGAGTGTCTGCCCGATGCAAGTGATGGTGGCTGACTCTCGTACTATAGCAAGCTCTGAATAAATAGCCTGTTCTCATTTGGATAGTTTTTGTATCCATAGCATTATGATTGAGGTTAAAAGTTCAACACCAATTTTAAAATGCCATATATATTTTATTAGCATTAGTATTGTGCAGAAAACAAGACATCATGGTCATTACGGCTCACCCATGCAACCATCTGCTTGTGGATATACTACTTTTCCACCAGGTACATACTCCAAATGCTTGTGATCAAACCAATTCTCTCCCTACATCATTACCGCAATACAAATCTTCAGCTACTTTGAGTATTCCAGCTGCTTAATCCCTCTGCTTTTTCTTTCTTCTCATACATCCTTTTCCTTTCATTTTGTCTGGACTCCAGCGTCTAACATTTTAGCAATTCTCTACCCAATATTCTCATTAGCCTTTAATCTCATATGCCTAGATAAACTCTGGGTAGACAAATATTGTTTTCATTTTTTTTCCCCAGAAGCGTTCCTTCCTTTGAAAGAAACAGAGCTCCTTTCTTTTGAGAAATTGCTTTCCCACTGGATCCACATGATTTGATAGGTAGTTGTCAATTCCAGCAGCCCCATCCCCAACATCAGTGCTCCAGGGACAGGCAGGTGAACCAACTGGGGCCAAGAAAAGTCTATCTTAGGGTGTTTCTAGATTTTCTTGTTAGGTGTGAAGTTGGGAATTTGTGTCCAGAGCTCTTGGAAGTCACGGGTCTAGCCTGGTGGAATAAGCCAATGTGAGAACGAAGAACACAGTCAAAGGGAAAAAGAATGAAGAGTGTATGCAGCTCATCCACTGACAGAGGGAACAGAGAAGGAAGAACAAACTCTGAGGATGTAGTGACAGGTTAGTTGAGTGTGAGGTTATGTTGAGTCTGAGAAGAGAGCAGAGGAGGGAAGGCGGGGCTGTGGATGAGAGCTCTGGCGGTTACCAACATAATGGGACCCCACCAGGGAGAATGGGTGGACTAATGTTCAAATGTATATTTTTGATAGTTCTGGAAATTAGCCAAATATGGTTAATAATAAAGCCTTAAGAATACAAGGGAATGAGAAGTATTATATATTCAAGATAGATATGCACTGGCCTCACATATAAATGTTGTCTAGATACTAATTCAACATAAACCAAAAGCTCAAAATCCTTCAGACTGTTGGACGTGTTTCACAATTAGCCATCCACTCATCTCTGAGTTCTTCACGTTGGTGAGTAGCGTCCTCAAACCTATTGCCACAGCAGGACCAAGAAACAATTATTGGGGGGTGGGGGGGACACACCTCAGAAATGCTACATTTGGGTCAAGATGCCCAGAGAGATCATGCAATAATAAGTAGGTCCGGGAAGCTACCAAGTCAATCACAAATATTTACTGAGCAGCCAATGAATGTCAAAAGGAATAACAGAAAATGTTTTGAACTGGTAGTCAAGAGACCCTTAGTCTCCTGGGTCGAAGCTGATAATTCTCTGACCTTGGTCCAGTCGTATATCGGCTCTGAGCCTCACTTTCCTCATCTGCGGAAGGGAAGTGTTGCTGTGGATCATCTCATTTGGGTCCTATAGAGCAAATAAAGAAATCCAAAATTCCTAGCCTCTCCCCTAGACAGATGTGCAGTATTTGATTGGACAGACACTGAAAAACGAAATATCAAAAGAAGAAATATAAATAATTCAAAATAATAATAGACGAGCCACGACAAACAGGTCTTATAAGCAAAATAAAAGGTAGAAGTAATTACTTTAAAAGAATACTAAGACCCTAGGGAGGCAGTTCTAGACAATGTGAAGTACAGCTGGGCGGCCAGTGGAGGGAGACTCCATTCCTTCCCCAGGCCGGGGGGATTTTTCTCAAACTCGCCTCAGCCTCCCTGAAGGGACTGATTAACTAAGGGGTGGCCCCGAATAGGAGATAATCCTGGCGTAGGCGGCCAGGGGGACTCAGGTCTGGATGCTGCCCGCGGGAGCCCTGCAGGCGGCCAGAGCAGTGGGCGCCCCCGGGGCACCGGGACCAGGCGCCCCCGACTCACCGGCTCCGCCCTGCTCCCCGCGCCGCGCCTGCCCACCCCGCCGGCTCCGTGGCGCCGGCGGCCAAGGTGCTCCGGGTCCGTTAGTCCGTGTCCGGGCAACCGCGGCGGGGCCGGCCGGGGTCTCCGGGCTCGCGCTGCGCCGGCCTCCGCCGCCGATCGCGCCGCCGGCCCTGCGTTTCCGCTCCAGACTCGCGCATCTGGGGCTCCGCGCCAGGCCTTCCCGGTGCCGCCACCTCCCCGCTCTGTTTTCTTTCTTTTCTAACGTGCCCACCAAACTCCTTTTCTGTGTACCAAAGAGAGACGGGTGGGAATGAGTCAAGGTCCTTTCCTACAGAAGTTATGATTAGGATCAGATAGACTCAGAGACTTATTCAACGCGAAGACAGCAGGACTTCGTTTCTGTTCTCTCAAAAGGTTGCTCACATCCTACCCTCATGATCACTTGTCCTGAGAGGGAGCCTTCCAGCGTCTGTTTCCTTGCCCCTGGGTACGATACAGGAAGGACTATAGCTGATAAGCGCCTTTTGGGTTGGTTGTTAGTTCTAAGGTGACTTCAATATTGAGGAACCTGAACAAACTCTTAGGGAGGAAAGGAAAACTCTGTGTCTGGATGTTGAGGTGCGGAAAGCGATGAATTCAGCCATTTATCCAAGGCTCTATTTCTAATGAAAACAAATTTTGAAGCATGGTCCAGCTGAAGTGGCAAAAAATATGCACCTCAACTTTGTTTCCACTTCATTGAATATATACTGTGATCTGAAATAGGCTTCAAAGAAAGACACTTGTGCGTTAACGCTAGTCTCACCAACTGCCTCCTTGGATGAAATCAAACACTAGAGGATAAACCGAAGATGGTTAAAACCATAGGATCAGGATAAAGATTAGTGTTCTTACACAGACAAATCGTATTTCCAGGCAACAATGGGAACAGGCAAAGGCTTGCCAAGGTTAAGTAAGCAAAATCTATTACTTAAGAGGCAATTCAATTAGTAATCCTTTCTAATGGGGGGAAATTGGCAAAGCCATACCTAGAATAAGATCATTCCAGCCAAAGATGTAAAAAGAGGAAGCAATAACAAGCAAACTGGAGAGAAGTCTTAATCTTAAATTAATATATGCAGAAGCAGAGCTCTTTTCGTAATTAAAAAATAGATTCCAGAATGCAGTCTCCACTTTCCCATCTCCGCTAATTATTTAAATTTGACATGTTAGTAATACAATGTTAAATTTAAACCAAATGAATCATTTGCATACCAGTAAATATATATTCATGAGGATTCAAAGTATCTAAGTGAGTATATTAAAACAATAGCTAGATTTTTCTCCCAAAACAAAACTTTACCTACTAGAAACTTCCTTCTTGACAACTTTCTCTTAATTAATTAGAATTCACTGATAATTGCTATACATCTGTTGTGGTAGGCAAAATTCTAAGATGAACACCACGGACTCTACCTCCTGGTAAATGTGCCTTGTGTAGTCCTCTGGACTTTGAATATGATGGATTTTCTTCTTGTGCTTAGCTTGTTATATGATACAATTGACTTTAAAAAGGGAGATTATCCAGGGTGAGTTGAACCTAATTGGTTGAATCATTAAAAGGGACTGGCCTCTTCCTGGGGTCAGAAATTTGAAGCTTCCCAGGGCTCTGACACAATGGATATTCTCCATTGTCAGCTTTGAGGATTGAGGGGCCATGGGGCAAGGAATGCAGGCAGGCTATAGGAGCTGAGAATGGCCCCAGCTGTCAGCCAGCAATAAAATGGGGACCTCAGTCCTACAAACTCAGGGAACTACATTCCACCAATAATCTGACTGGGCCTGGAAGAAGACACTGTGCTCCAAATGAGAATACATCCTGCCAACACCTTAATTTCAGCCTTGTGAGACCCTGAGCAGACAACCCAGTCATCCTCATCTGGACTTCTGACATATAGAACTGTGAGCTAATAAATAGATGTTGTTTTAAGATGCTACTTTTGTGGTAGTTTGTTATATAACAGTAGAAAACTAATACACCTATTAGCTTACTTCAAATAAACAAAAGTGGGAATTTTTATTTTTATTTATTTATTTTTTTGCTGAGGAAGATTCACCCTGAGCTAACATGTGTGCCAATCTTCCTCTGTTTTGTATGTGGGTTGCCACCACAGCATGGCCACCAATGAGTAGTGTAGGTCTATGCCCAGGAACTGAACCTGGGCCACAGAAGCAAAGCACATCAAACTTAACCACTAGGCCATGAGGCCAGCCCTTTTTTTATTTTTATTTTTATTTATTTTTGCTGAAGATGATTCACCCTGAGCCATCTGATGCCAATCTTCTTCTTTATGTATGTGAGTCGTCACCACAGCACGGCCACTTATGAGTGGTATAGGTCCACACCTGGGAACCAAACCTGAGCTGCCAAAGCAGAGCATGCTGAACTCAACCAGTAGGCCACTGGGACTGGCCTGAAAGTGGGAATTTTTAAATAAAGATACAAGGCTGTCTCAGGAAATCCAGGTCAGGATTGTAGCTGAAATTCAAATAGGACAAAAATCAGACACTGCAAAATAAATGAATACTAGATCTATTATAAACAAGAACACAGTAGACAAGCTCATCTTATTAGCAAATAAAAAATCAGATTTTGTACAAAAATAAAACAAGCAGATTTTTCTATAGCAACAATAAAAGATAAAGAGTGGAATGATATAGTAACAGTACCTAGAGATCAAATGAAAATCCATTCACTGCAAAACTATCCTTCAAAAATGAGAAAAAAAACCATTTTTGGAAAGAACAAAAACAAAGTTTAACATTAGCAGACCCACACTGGACAATGTACTTTAGGAAGAAACAAAATAGTGAAGATATTGGAAAGATACATGCTTAAATCTAAAGAGTCTTTGGCTGTATGAAAACACATCAGCCGTTCACTTGTCTTCCACTTGTTTTGGTTTTCTCTTCCTAGTCATCCCCTAGCCAATTAATCCTTAAGACCTATGCATGCAACTCTTTTAATATATCTCCTGACAGTGCTAGACAATTTCAAGAATTAGATTTAACAATGGAGTGTTCTGGGCCCCTTTTTACTTACACCAGAATTACTTAGAGCCACTTTTAGATTAACTAAATGCATACCACGCCTGCCATAGAGAATTAGCCAAATCTTTCTATTTATTGATAATAATGTTTTATTAAGGGGAACCAGAAGGGTCCTCAGTAGACAATTGGAACTGGTATCTAATTATGTCTGAAAGAGTGGCATGATATCAATTTCTCCAAATTAAAAATTATTGTCTTTGGCAGACATTCTCCAAAATTCAATTTGCTTACATTAAATTACTTCTTACAGCAACTTAATTCATTTTTATATTGTAATTCATACTTTCTCGTTCAATGAGAAAGTAAGAAGTTCAAAAACAGCATTACTGATGTTTTTCTATAATGATTCTACATGGTTTAAAATATTTCAAGATCAGAACCATTTTACCCTATCATCACTGGCGTAGAATTTGGAAGACAATCTTATACCTATTCATGTGCTTAAGATTACCGGTACAGCTTTCTAAAGTAAATTTTAAATGATCCTAAATACTAAATGTCCTTATATATATCCCTCTGTTGCCACCATCTGTAAGTTGTAGTCGTTTATCCAGGCAAGAGCCCCTGAGTTTTCATCATAAGATTCCATTCATCTCATCTGCTTGTCACATATGGATTGAAAACCAATCCATATGTTTTATAAAATACCTACAATCCAATACTTCATCAGAGTACATAGCCTCAAACTCTCTCTGGGCAGTTTTGTCAAAAACTTACCTGAAAGGACACTATTTACAGAACATTTGTTGTTTCAAACCAACATTAAATTACCTATTTGAACATGATTAGCTTCCCACATAATGGGGTCACCTTAGACCTTTCACAAAAAATTAGCTCAAAATTGATCATAGACCTAAACGTAAAATGCAAACCTATAAAACTTCTAGAAAATAACATAGGAGAAAATCTAGGTGACCTTGCGTTTGGTGATGACTTTTTAGATACACCAAAAGTGCAATCCATGAAGGAAAAAATTGTTAAGTTGGACTTCATTAAACTTAAAACCATCTGCTCTTCGAAAGACACTGTTAAGAGAATGAAAAGTCAAGCCACAGACTGGGAGAAAATATTTTCAAAACTCAACTCTGACAAGGACTTGTATCCAAAATATACAAAGAACTTTGTAAACTCAATGATAGAGAACAAGCGACTCATTTAAAAAAAATAGTGGCCAAAATGTCTGAGCATATACCTTATGATGAAGGTCTGATACCTGTGAAAGGAGAGTGGTGAGCCTCAGGCTGTGTTGCAGCCCTGAGAATGTCCCAGCCACACCAATGGGGAGCTCCAGGGCCAAAATTGTTCTTTATAGATGTCTCATGTTGGGCAGAAATGGCCTGGCTCTAGTATCACTGCCAGAGTGCCACTGCCTTGCTCAGTCATTGACTATTCATTGAGCATCCTAGGGAGAGCGTGGCCTCAGTGTGCATGTTATGAGGCATCCCTGAGTTGCATCAGCTGGAGGCTACCAGCTAATTAGAGTACTTATAGTATGTCCTGTCTTGCAGGGACATCTACAGTGGGCACTTTCATGGCTTTCAAAGCAATTTTCTGAAATTACTTGGCATCCTAGTTCAGATGTGCATCCCTAAAGAAGTCCAGTAACACTTCAGAAGTCCAGTAACAGCACAACTATTATCCATTCAAATGGATAATACTTTGTGGCAGGATAGATCATGACCTTTGACAAAATGCAGTATGAGTCTTAGTGCAGCTCATCAGAGGCTCTGTAAAACATTTCAATTTGTGACAGACTCCCTTAACACTAATGTATTTGCTGAGCCAAAAGGCAAGAGGCAAGAATGTTTACCCTATACCTTGAATATCCTGCACAGCATTTTATAGCTCCAGGTGCAATTCAAAACTGAGAGCGTTAAGAGTTACCTGGTGAACAGGTCAGAGCAGCACACTCAAAACTACTATGTGTCGCCTTCAAAATCCAAAGAGGTCCGAGCGTTTTGCTTCTTTGGCAATGATAGAAGGTGCCACCATTTGTATCTCTCTGTAGAAAGGGTATCTTGACATGTCCAAGACCTCTGGACCCTTAG